GATGAGTGCAGGTAGTAGTACCAGTAACTGTGGCAACCTAATTTATTCCCTTACCAGAATTAGCATGCAGCTGGCAGCATCATCTCAATTGCCAGTGTGTCAGTGGCAGAGCCAACCGGCAGCTGTATGCACCAACTTTTCTCCTACAGTGGTAATAAGTGGGTGGCGTTTGAGAGCTGCAAATAAGGTGTTGTGTGGACACCCCTGAATTCTGAAACTGTGAAATGCCCAACTCAGCTGAATCAATAATACCTGTGGGGCATCTTTTTGTTAGCTGTACAAATGTTTTCTGTAAAACTAGTCAGCCTGCTGAGAAATGGATAATAAGGAACAGATGCTTCAACTTGTTTTGTAGTGAAACTGAATGCTTTTTAACTTTACTAATCCAGAACATCCTGGATGAATCATAGGATTCTTGAATGCCCTCCTGCTCCTGCTAGCCAAAAATACTCTAATATTACTTGGCCTTGGTGGGGTAGGAGATCACAGTGGGTCAGCAATACCAAGAAAAGCCAGAATGCTCACATCTTGTAAAATTCCAGAAGTTTGACATTGGAGAAATTAGGTTGCAGCCTCTGTCTCCCCTCTTAGAGCAGCTTATCTTCTCTTATATTTTGTTTGCTTTTCTTTGTTGTTGGTTTTTTATTATTATTTGGTTTTTTAAATTTGTTTAATAAAAATTCTATGATGTATAAGATTCCAGATGCTCTCTTCCCTCCAGACATGCTGAAGCCTGTTTTGGTTGTTGCTTAGCATAAGAAATGCCTCTGTTATTGCATTCATGTTAGAAAGGAGAAACCTAAGACCCAGAAAGGTTATGGAAACCTTCTAAGTTAAGCCAACTTCTTAGCGACAAGCCACAAATATGACACAAGCATTCTAGCTTTTAATTACATAGTCTAAAAAACCCCATTGTTCTCACCTCAATTCTTCCAGTGCCCAAAGTGTGTAGGACTGCATTGATGCACGACTTCCTGATGGGTTTCTGAATGCTTGTTTCAATCTAGAAAAAGAAGAGGAATGAGAATGAAACAGCTGCGGAAGGTGAAGACTCTGCCATGACCGACATGCCTCACACAGAGGAAATGACAGACATCGTAGAAATGAGAGAAGAGAATGACTAATAAAGGGGATGCAATTGTTCTCTGCAGGGACGATTGGAGTGACACTTCAGCATCTTGTCGTCTCTCATACTTTTTTGTTTGTTCGTTTTTATTTTTGTAATAAAGAGGCCTTGATTTAAAAGGTTTCAGATAAATTCTCTAGCATACTGAGTATGCTCTCACTGATGAGGGACCTAAAAAGAGGTCTTTGCTTGCTTTTTTCTTTTTTTTTCCCCCCAATTGAATTTGTTTTCTCACTCCATGCAAACATAATTGCATCACTGTAGAGTCTTCCTTACTTATGCATCCACCTTCTCTGGACAATCTGTATTTGTCAACCAAAGCCCTGCTCTCTGTACACGCATGTGTGTGTGTGTGGGCTCGAACACTCACACGCACACACGTGCCACTGGCTCAATGCTACTGCCATAATCCTACTCCCTCCCCTCTTTCCTTTTCCTTCCTTTTCTTTATGAGAAATGTAAAGGAAAAGAAGTTTGGAATACAGAGCTTTATTTTACTTGCTTGAAAATGACTTTGCTACATAAACTAATATACTATGGTGAACTATATCTTTTTGTTTGGCCTCATCACTAGAGCTTATACTGCACAGGGTACAAGATGGGGAGGAACGTGTAAGTCTCCAGATAAAAAGTGGAGAAAAACAGGTTCCTTTCTCTTGTTTAAAGTGTGTGGATGTGTACACACACAGGTACATAAACAGAGACATGCATATACATATATATATATATGTATATATATATATGCATACAATGAAATACACACAGGACAAGAACTCTATTTAGCTTTAATTCCATCAGAAAGATGTAAACATTTAATTCAGAATTTTCTTGAATCATTATGCCCCACCTTAAGTGTAATTTTCTTTAGAAAAAAAACAAAAAAACATGCACTTTCCTCTTGTGAAGAGGGTGATGGCAACTGATAGGCTTTGACTGTATTTGAATTAAAAAAAAAAATAAATATTGACAAGCTTTACCAAAGTTCTTGTCCACTGATTTAACTTTAGTTTTTAAAGGTTTATTTGCTCTATATTCTTGTTTCTCGTGCCTATATATTTTTTAAAGATCAGATAACAAATGCAGGGTACCATGGTATATCACATTAGTACACATAGCTCCATTAAATTTTTTATATAGAGATGTACACGTACTCACACACACGTGCGTATATGTATATATACTTATACACACACATACATGTATGTTTTGCTGTACTATATGTACCTATGCAGTAGATCAAAATCTGTATGGTGAAGATCAAGTACTGATGGTCCTCCAAGCGGTTAATTAGGGACCTTGATCACATGGTAGCTCTCAAGGCAAGAGTCACGTGGAAGCAGAGAGCTGCTCACATCAGTCAGCAAGTGCTGTGCTTGGGGAAGGCGGCAGGGGCTGTGTGGTTGTGGTTCAAGTGGGCCTTAAATAACAGAGTGTATGGTCGGGTGGGCGACCTGTGTGGGGTGGAAATGAAGCCTATGTAAGAGGAGGCTGGATCAGAGAGGGTTTGGGTGCCACTGATGATGGTTGCAGCAGCAGCAGCTTCTATTTCTTCTGCTCTTCTGTGCTTCGGCTGCGGGGCAGCGTTCATTACTGGCTTGTAGTACCTTGGGTCCTTTCAGATTTAATCATGCCAGAGTCTGGAAACCATTAACCTCCATGCTATCTCCAGAAAGCAATTAATTTAAGCATTATTTAGTAAAAGTATATTTTTCTAAGTTGTGGAAATGATTATTTAATTGTGGACAAATTACATTTCTAGATTTATTTGCCAGGTAGTCCCAGCACTCAGAGAACTGATCAGAACTAAACATTACTTAATTGTTGTATCAATATATGTGTATGTAGACATACACATGTATATAAATATATATATTGTATATTATGTACATTTATTTTAAACAACATTTCCTATTTTTCCAAGTTCAGCTAATAATGTCTCTAAATACTACAGAGTTGGCTAGTAACCAGTTACGGCTGTCATAAAAGGCATTGTATCAATGAATTTTACATTTTATTGTAAACATTTGTACCAATTTGTTATGTGCACATATGCAATAAGAAAAAAGTGTAGAAATTATTGTGTTGAATGACAGA